TCGGTTACTTTTCGCTTCGTGGCCAGCGTGTGATAAGGTCCTAAGTCAAATCTATCAAGGGGTTTTCTTGGCAGGAATTGTTCAGAGGAGGTTTGCCATTGCCTTCCCCTGAGGCTGAGAGTATGTGACTTGCCCAAGGTCACCCAGTGGGGTTCATGGCTGAGCTGGGAATTGAACCTTGGTCTCCAGAGTCCTAGTCTAGCACTCAAATCACTATGCCACACTGGTTCTCTGGTCTCTTAGTATCCCTTAAAAAGAGCCTGGAGAAAAGATCAGGATCCTGAAGCACTTTGTTGTTGTTTAGAGGTCTTGTAGCACCTTTGAGACTAAGGGCCTTTGCAGACTGCCAGAAATAGTGCAAACTGAGTCCACTTCAACTGCCCTGGCTCAGTGCTAGGGAATAATGGGAATTGTATTTTTTTCTGAGACATATTAAGCCTTCTCGGTCAGAGAGCTCTGATGCCACAATAAACTACAGTTACAGCATGATTCCCTAGCACTGAGTCAGGGCAGTTAAAGTGGACTCAATTTGCACTATTTCTGGCAGTCTGCAAAGGCCCTAACTGAAAGAAAGACGTTGGCAGCATGAGCTTTCATTGACTTAAGTCTACTTCCTCAGATGCATTTGTGTTGTTGTGTGCCTTCAAGTCATTTCTGACTTACGGTAGCCCTAAGACAACTTTCTCATGGGATTTTCTTGGCAAGCTTTGTTCAGAGTTTTGCCATTGCCTTCCCCTGAGGCTGAGAGCATGTCCCTTGCCCAAGGTCACCCAAGTCCTTACTGAAAATGAAAGTCTTATCTATGGGTGCTGGTCAAATTCAGAGAGTGAAGATGAACCAGGGATTCCCTCATTCACTGCTTAGCCCTTGTCTGCCTTCACTACCACTGTGGGTGCTGCCTAGTGATGACGTTTATGACTTCCCTTTCCTCCAAGGTGATCCAAGCTACATTTTTGCCCCACAACAACCCTTTAAGGTAGAATAGAATAGAAGGTAGCCAGATGTTATCACATGTGGAATACAAAGCGATAATAAACTGGAAATAACAAATTCCGAAAATAAACCGAAAATAAACCTTGATTCCGCAAATGGTTTTCACACGTAATTACCTTAATTGCTCAATTAAGGGACGCTCCCGCTGAAACTGCATTTAACGTTTACACACAAGTGAGAAAATCCCGTACATGTACTAGA